GAGAGAGAGAGAGAGAGTTGGGTACCTCCATAAATGAAGGGCGAAGGCCCTTGAGGAGAGCTCGTATCTGGATGTACTTTGAGTAGTGGTATTCGACCGATTTCCTCCTCTTATTGCCTTGTTGTTGCTGTTGAGGGGGTGTAGTTGAATATGGAGAAGAAGAAGGTGGTGACGGTGGAGGTGGTGGGGGTGGTGGTGGAGGCCTTGTTTGATGTTGCTGTTGTTGCAGAGGAGGATTAATATCCTCGATATTACTAGCCATTGCCAAAGGAACACAGTTTGCTACTGTGTTAATGGTAAGCCTTCCTCCACTCTCTCCCTCTCTCTTACATCATTTCGGTCCTCCTAGCCTATTAATATTTGTAAAAAGCTTATATAAGTGGGAGGCTCTAAACAATCAAATAAAATTTCATTAGAAGACGTTGTGTCGATACTCAAAATTCCCCAAACTCATCACCTCAATATCAAGATGTACGGACATGATAAAAAATAAATTTTAAGTTTTAAAAATAACGAATTTTGTAATGTATTTTTAGGAGGAAAATTTTTTAAAAATTTTAAATATTTATAGATTTGTTCGATCTGTACTATTTTTATGACTTTAAATTTTATAATTAAAAATAAATTTTCAAACAATTATAACTATTTTCATTATTAAAACAATACTATCTAAAGGTACGACTTACTTTGATAGTTTAAAGCCTCTACTTTATAGAAACCACACCCTTTAAATTTTTTCTTAGATGAAATAAATTTGAAAATGAAGGTAATGAATAGTGAAATGTGCTCTCATTTTCCCCCTTAATATGAGATTTATAATAATTTTAGCCATCATTGTCCCCCTTAATATGATTTATAATAATTTTAGCCATCGGATTGAAATTTAATAGATGAAAATGGGTCACAATCAATTTTAACCATTGGATTGAAATCTAATAGATGAAAATGGGTCATTACAAGAATTTTTTTTTGGACATTGTGCCAAAGTAATGTCACATCTTCAACCACTTAATTTCAAATCTAATGATCAATGATGATTGTAACTTTGACTTCCCTATATCAAAAGTAAACGGCTCATTGTATACATTTCTTCCTCCTTTTTTAAATTTTTTTGAAATCTCCCCCACTTTGTACTAGAGTTGGGCCCACCCTAACACGGACCTGTTCCATTGAGGCCCAGCCTTGATCGAGCCAAACCCTGGCCCAAGCTTAGACTTGGCCCTATTAGAGTTGCGTATGGATAAATAAAATTAAAGAAAATAAAAAAAAATAAAAAAATAAGGGTTGGACTGGGCTAGGCCGAGCCAGGCTTGCCCTGGCCCTGGCCCAAACATTGCCTAGCCCAGCCCTAATTTTTTAGGGTTGGGTCACTTTGGCCCGATCCGTGGGCGACATTGTGTGTTGACATGTTTGATGGTATTTTATTTCTATAAAATCTGCTTGACCCGAAAATGTTGGGACATGTACATCAAAGCTAAGCACGGCAAACTTCAATAAAATAAAAATTATCATGAAGGATAAATAACAAAAATTACCCCTGCCCTTTGTTAATGAATTCGATGGCGTATTTTGCGTATTATTTTTTTTGTGCACCTAGATCAAGCACATATACCCCTAAAACTTTAGGTCCTTGGATTTCGAAAGAGAAAAAGTTTACACCAGGGCGAAGCCCTAAACAATCAAATTAGGGTGCGCCTTAAAAATTCACAAGTAGAGCTTGCCTCAATGTTGAAAAACCCTCAATTTGATCATCTCAACATCAAGATTTATGGACTTGAGAAAAAAAAATAGATTTCAAGTATTGGAAATAGTGTGACTTACAATGTATTATATAGGCCGCCAATTTTCAAGTTTGTCAAATGTTTATAGATCTACTTGATCTACACTATTTTTTAATATTTAAATTTTCTAATTATAGATAAAATAAATGTTATGGACATCATAAAAATTTATGATGCCTAAAATATATATTCCAACATTATTTGAAGGTGTGTCGTACTTTGATTGTTTAGGTCTCTATGCCTTACACAAACCACACCCCTTTATATAGAGGTTTTAAAAATCAAATACTGAGCCATTAGATCATTCTACATTCAATTGGCCATTGAGGTGATATAAAATAGGTCGGCATAAGGGAAAAGATTTTACAAAGCAGCAAGATTATAAAAATAACATAAGCCTCGCTCATAAAATGATCTTTTTGGGCTAAAAATTTGCTCACTTTTTTTATTAAGAAAATAAAAAAATAAAAAATAAAAAATAAAAAGTAAAAATAATTTTAAGTTTGCCATAGGCCATAGGGATGGTATGCTTTTACTGAAAATGGCGGGTTTATGTTTCTCGTTATTTTATGCAAATTTAAATTTGGGAAAGTAGAGAATGATATCATCTACCTTGGTACAAAGTGGTCACATTAATCTTGACCATTGGATGGGAAATTGGGTGGCTGCAATTATTCCATTGACCAAGCTCAAACTTCAAAAGAATTTTTCTCAAACTTTGTGACACATCCAAGCTATCAAATTTCACATAAGATGGTTGTAAGGAATTGCGACCACCTTGTATTAAAAGTAAATGGTCTCATTGTAAATAATTCCTTTAAATTTTGCAGTTTGATGATCTAGATTAGATCAACATGTTTCCAAAATTTGGGTCAAATGGATTCATACTTTTGAAAAATGGCTTAATTATATGGTATAAACTCATTTACTTGCGTGTTTAGGATTTAGGGTTTGTGGTGCTTCTTTCACTTGGTCTAATAATTGTGAGGCGAACTTGATAATGTCCAAACATGATAGATTTTTTATGTACCTAATTTCTATGCGGCTAAACCTGCATATGCAAAAATGCGGGCCTCTTAATAAATCTATTTCTGAGATGGATTTTAAGACGTAATTTTTAAAGACATGTAATCTCTAACACAGAGATCATGAATATATATATATATATATATATAAACTAAAAATAATAATTCTAACAAGAAAACATTTGGACCGTTAGTTTCCATTATTTTTAAATGGAACACCTACTTGAATCTATCTTCTAAGATGGATGCTTTACACTTTTTGGACCGCATATGTAGAAATTCGATCGAGACTGCAAGAAACAATTTTCCATTTTTTATTTCTAATGGGTGGGATGAGATTTTTCCATTGGTATATGTGCCGGCTTTGCCTAAGTTATCTTCAGATCACACTCCCATTTTTTTTGCAAACTGAAAAAGATAATAGAGGCCCAATACCGTTTTGGAATTGGAAATAGGTTAATTACAATAAAAAAGAGGTTATATTGAGTTAATAAAGCAATTATGGGACAATTATGTAGTTCATAGGTGATATTGATATCGCCTCTATAACAAAATCCTCTGATTGAAAGACGAGTTGATAGATCGGATGAAAAATACTCGGTATGATATTAGAGGTCTTATGGATGAGATTATGCTTAGAATTCAAGCGATAGATGTCATTGAACAGGAGCATATGGGTCTTGAAGATGAACTTAAAATGGAGAGGATGAAACTTAAATTTAAGTTACATAAATCATTGCCCAATATCTTATATTGTTTGCACTTTCCAACTTTCAACGCTCTAACAGGGGATAGCTCTAATCAGTGCAGGAAAAAATGGGCGGTTAAAATCGGAACTCCTTGGTTAGATAGGAACTTGCCAGTTTCGATTTCGGCCACTTTTGGTGAACTGACTGGATGTTTTTTTATTTTATATATATATAGAGAAAAAGCAATAAAGGATTTTGTTTGTAATGCATTTTTTTATGTTTTTTATTGTTTTGGTAAAAATTGAAAATTGTTTTGGCCATTAATACTTATTTTTTTTATATTTTTCCATCTTTTTTGAAAAAATTAAAAAATACCCTAGGGTACAAATTAATTATTTAAAATTCACTTTTTCATTAATTTTTAGCTTCATTTGGATGTAATTTATTTAATCATGTTTTAAATATATTTGTCATAGTTTATTATTATTATTATATTTTAATTTTTTTAACAATCTTTTGATCGTCCGGGACTTGTGGGATTAGTCCAGTTGAAGCAGCCAATTTACCGATTAGTAGTACTGAATAACCGCTTCCTGCCATATCCGATTAACTGTTCCGTTTCGAGTTTTCCTGCACTGTCTCCAATCCCTAGAGAGAGACTCCGTTTTGCCGACCTAAACATAGTTTGCACCAGTGTTTAAAAAAACGCCAAGTCGAACCGGACTAGCCCTGTTCGACTCGAGAATCGCCATGGACGAATCGAATCGGTGAAAAAAACGGGAATCGTCCGGTTCTAGAGAGAACCGGACGATTATGCACAGTGACTCGCCGATTCACTGTACGGAATCGGCGAGTCCCATACAGTGAATCGGCAAGTCCCGTACGGAAGAATAGTTTAATTTTTTTTTTTTTTTTTTTTTTTTTTTTTTTTTTTTTGTAATCCATGATAGATTTTTTTGTAATA